AATCACAGGCTGATGGTGGTGTTTTTAGTGAAGTAAAGTAGCATCCAGTTGTAAATTTACTAGAAATGTTTTATTGTTCATGTTATTTCATTATCTTTTTGTTTACTTGAATTATTGATGCAATACACATTGCACTTCGACACTGTAATGTAAACAAATGTTGTTTTTGTATTACTAGACGATCTAGCGAGATATTGTTGAACAGACAGTAAGGGACAGTGATACTAAGATGTTATATGTCAGTTTTTCATCATTATCTACCATATTACGACTGTAATTTACTTACTTATTTCAGCATCATCGCATGTGTTGTAAATTGGGCGCTTGCCATCTTTCTTACGAAGAAAATAGTCATGTGACATAAACATTGTTGTTTTACAATTGATAAGATCGAAATAACACTGTCCGTGTCCTCAGATATGTATAATTGATAGTTAAATGTTATTTTATTGTAGTATTGTCATTTTATTATGTTTTATTTGACGAAATGTTTTGGAACTTGAATGTACTAAGCCGGCCGAGGATTGTGTGTGTCCGTTTTATTACAGATTGTTTGTTGAACTTATTCTACTATGTACATCGAATAGAATTTACAGCTCCTACTTTACATGTAGAAAGGACATTTTGAGCGACATTATTTTCTTTTTTACACAATATGTATGTAAAGTAGTTCTGAGTTGCTCCAGAAAGGACAATTATTCATTGGTTAATTGTGATCACGTGACCATTACAGAGGGTTATATATATAAGCAGCGAACGCCAGTTTCACAACAACGATCGTAATGATCAGATCATATTACGTCATCAACATCACTGACTGTAAATTACTAGCGACTTAAGTATGAGAAAATAATGTAAACTAATACAAATCACTGTAAACCAATTATTATACGCGTCATTTTTTATTCGCGAATGACCGCTAGAGAACTAATCCGCAGCGATTTATTTCCACGAACAAGTGGTCTTTTTTTTTTTAATTTCCACAAGTATTTTTTTGTATCAGATTAAAATTTTATATCCGCCCATAAACTAGGTAAAATGCTACCGTGAGTACTGCTTACGCATTATCATTCAAGACATTCTGTGCATTGCGTCCATTTTTAAAAATCTTATATCCGCACCTAAAGTAGGTAAAATGTTACCATGAGTATAATACTTCTTACGCATTATTCACGACGCTCGAATGAAAATCGGGAAAAAAATCGAGGAGATTAAAGTCGGTTTCAAACTCACAGGTGTAAAAGTACCTCATGCTAATTGGGTAATTGACGTTTTACAAGATCTACATAGCCAAAGGGCAATTATTATAAATGGTTGGGACGGAGCAGGACTGGGCCATAATTAGTCGTAATTAACCAGGCTATCTCTAACTCGTTTGTGACAATAAAGAACAATAATAACACAAGCTTAAATAATCATTGACTTTTAATCATTTTTAGACAAATAGTTTTAGATTTGCAATTCGTTTATATATTTTTATCTGAATGTTTGTAATTAAAGTTCAACTGCTTCTAGAACACTAAAGTTCTTCCGTGATTACTTATTGAACTGTCGGGATCGGTATTCAAAAAGGGCAAATAACTCTAATCATAACATGGGAAAATGAACAACTGGTTCGCGACTATAAATATCCGCGAGCATAGGTTACTCGCGGAACTCGCGGATATTTATCGCAGGCGTATAATACTTGGTTTACAGTAAGTAGCGTATAATTTCTCCAACGCACGGACAATGCAATCCACTGTATTTTATTAGGTCAGAGATGTTTGAGCTAGGACTTTATATATATACTCATAGATCTAGATGTACTGACTGTTTTGTTATATTTCATTGAACTTTGAAGTCTTTATTAAATGAAATATTTGAAACGAGAAATGGAACTTCGTTATGATTTACAAGGATGTGGTTTTGTTGTTTAAATACATGCGACGGGCTGAGGATGCCCCCCCCCCCCTTTATGAGGGACGGATGTCATACGTAGTCCTGATAAAATGTAATTAACTGAATTTACACGGGATGGAAACACTGTAGCTTGATTGGCATTTGACAGGGTGCCAAGGAAGCTTACAATTTTTGGTGTCAGAAGTGGGATGTCCTGCCATATACGAGGACATCTAGGATACGAACCCGTACTTTAGTACCTGTGAGAACTGAAGTAGAGTGGATTGCGGACAGTGTCGTGCAGTGGAAAATAAAAAATCTATTTTTAAATAGCAATGTATATATGTTCTTGTTACTGTTCTTATACTGAGTAGTTAAAAATGGAGGATGCTACTTCGCCGGATCCTGAAGTATTTATAAATGAACATAGGGGAAATGTTCAGTTAGGCCAAGGGGACGAAACAGATGTCTGGTGGAGGAACACTGATGACGAATATTTAATGGCAAATGAAAATCCTTTGGAAAGACATGCCAGTGACGACGACGACAACGACGAAGTAGGACGTACTTTCCGTCGGCGATCTGATTATCAGTTAGCTGACGACGCACATAGTGATCACAATCGCATTTCTACACTTCTGATCAAACCCGAACCCTACAATGGAAAAGAAAGTTGGGAGGAATACTTTTCTCCCTTTCAAGACTGCGCTGAACTAAGCCACTGGGACGACAGGACAAAACTTCTCTTCTTAGCCGCTAGCTCACGCGATAAAAGCCAGGACTTTCTAACTCCTGAGGAAAGACGCACGTTTAAAATTCTTGTTCAGCGTATGAACCAGAGATTTGGTAGCTCAAAACACAAAAATAGGTGGCTTTCAAAACTGGAAATGCGTAAGCGGATGCCTGGAGAAAGTATTGCAGAGATTGGAGACGATATACGGCAATTATCACAAACTAATAACTTGTACATCAAGATGCTTAAGCAGTCTCACTGGGCCTGACGAACCTCTCACAAAATTATTCCCGTTGAAATGCGATAAATGCCGTTCTTATTGACAAGGAGTGTAGCACTGTTGCAGAAGCGGAGCACGTCATTGAGAGAATACCAGTCAGTAATAATGGGATGGAGAAGAAAATAAATGTTAGACATGTGGATCAAGAACAAATAGTCAAACAGCTAACTGGAGAGCAAAAATCAAATAACTTGGAACATACAATCAAGTTACTAATCAATAGATTAGATAAACTGGAAAGTGCACAGAGAATGGAACCTCGGAAGGGCAATAACTCTTGGACTTGCTTCATCTGCAATTCACCAGATCATCTCATGAAGGACTGCCCAGAACGACGGACAAGAGGACAACAAATGACCACGACCTCTAGCCTGAATAGAAGACATGGGAGTGGAAACATGAGAAATAACAGATATCATTAAGTCAGGAGTCGGCACAAGAGGAATTGTCTTTCTGTTGGAAATGAACATACTAGGACTGGCCACACGGGGATATAACTCTCTTACGAGACAATGGATTTTATACAGAAGGAAACATATTTGACAAAGACATTTTCTAGTAGATAGTGGATCTACTAGTACTGCATCGATTATTTCATGTGGAAGTTTCATGAAACTCTCAAAGGAAAGGACCTTGTAACAGGACAACTAGATGACTTGACCAATTTAGTAAGGAGATCTTTGAAACAACCTGCTAAGGCTCATCATCTTGGTATATTAATGCCATATCGAGGCATCAACTTGCAACCCTGGTTCAGGAAGTTCACACCACAAAACTGAATGATGTCGGACAGTAGTACGATGATACCAGATTTTTTTGTTTTATTATATTGACACATGTCTAAGGTGGATGTTGTCCTAGGTGGTGCACCAAACTAGGTGAATGTGTAGATAGTGACTGGCCATTACTATTATTGCACATTAGGACCTCAGTTGTCTAGGGCTGGGCCGGACTGTAGGTGGACCTCAGTTGTCTAGGGCTGGGCCGGACTGTAGGTGGACATCAGTTGTCAAGGATTCGACGGGACTGATGGGAAAACAGTTGTCTAGGGCTGGGCCGGACTGATACTTTTGTTGGTTTCAATCTACTACTGGAATAAAATTATAAATGGATAATTGAAGAGAGTTCCTGATCCTGGGAGGAATCTACAAAAACAATGAAGAATTAGACCTGACTGATTGACTGACTGATTCCCATAGGAAGCAACCTTTATGAACTACATACATTTTATTCTAACAAGAATTTCCAATCTTGAACTAGCTTATGCACAGGGAGCTGTATACTTTATACTTGGGGTGGATGGTGGATTTTAAACATAACTGTTTGTATATCTGTACAGCAACATGAGACCACCAGAGGAGGAGATGGAGAAAGAAATAGCAGAGAGACGAGATGAAGAGATGGAGAAACTAGTAGCTGAAATGGCATCAGACGAGCAGCCAGATGTGTGAGAATTACCGAAAGAAGCGGTCGAGTGCAAGAAGAATAAAGATTTCATTGATGGTGGAAGCAAGAAGCTAGCAGTAAGACTATAAATTCAGGAGAATTTGAATTTTTAAGTGGGGGGAAGTGTAATATGCATGGGGGTTGGACTTTAGAATTTTGCATATTAATCACAGGCTGATGGTGGTGTTTTTTAGTGAAGTAAAGTAGCATCCAGTTGTAAATTTACTAGAAATGTTTTATTGTTCATGTTATTTCATTATTTTTTTGTTTACTTGAATTATTGATGCAATACACATTGCACTTCGACACTGTAATGTAAACAAATGTTGTTTTAGTATTACTAGACGATCTAGCGAGATATTGTTGAACAGACAGTAAGGGACAGTGATACTAAGATGTTATATGTCAGTTTTTCATCATTATCTACCATATTACGACTGTAATTTACTTACTTATTTCAGCATTATCACATGTGTTGTAAATTGGGCGCTTGCCATCTTTCTTACGAAGAAAATAGTCATGTGACATAAACATTGTTGTTTTACAATTGATAAGATCGAAATAACACTGTCCGTGTCCTCAAATATGTATAATTGATAGTTAAATGTTATTTTATTGTAGTATTGTCATTTTATTATGTTTTATCTCGAAAGAATAGATCTGGGTCTATAAAGTCATTAACACTATTTCCCTCTGGTGCAGATAAGTTACAAATCATACGCCACCCCCCTTGCTTTTTGGGAACAATGCCTATTGGGCTACACTTGATATTTGACATGGGGATATTCTTGAACGGCCCAGCTACTCTACCTAATTTAACCTCTTGATCAATTTTTTCTTGGAGCTGCTGTGAATTTGTTTGTGCAGATTTCATGTTTTTAGATTTTTGATATTCCCGTATACCCGAATAACAAATGTTGAAACCATATTGAAAACCATTGATTAATTCATGAGCAATATGTTGCAAGGGGTAGTCTTTTAGCATTGATTTTAGGATGTTAACGTTGACTGGGGTTGGGGCCAAGTCCCAGAGGCCTTGGTTGGTTTGGGGGGAACCCTCTACTCTGAAATCTGCTTGGGGGCTGGCGGGGATGTTCGGCTTGGGATGGGCGGAAGTTTTCTGTGCGAAATGCCTGACTGTTGTGCCAGCGGCAGTTTATGAGTGGGTGATTATTGGAGCATTTAATGCAAGCATGTTGATAAGTGCAGTATGGTCTTCCGCATGTGCCTTTGTAATTGAAGTCAAAGCATTTTGGCGATTTAGTTGTATAATTTGGGGTTTGCTGTGATAGAGTGTTGTGGCCATGAGACACATACAAGAGCCATAATTCTGCGTCGACACACCCCCAGTCGAGAGTATGGTTCCTGGAGCGCTTTAGTCTAAACTGTATGTCATAATTGAGCCAGTTTAAGTTTGATGATCGCTGTGCAGCAGTGCGTATGATGTTAATGTATTTAAGGATTGATTGAATGTGTTCAGGGAACTTAGTCAAGTAAATGCTGCTGAAAATGAGGAAAGCATTTGTCCATGTTTCAATTGAAGTTATTTTGATTTCTTTATGCTTAGCCTTTAGCACTAATTCGCCAGCAACAAATGCGAGCTGTTGCTGGGGCTCGTCATTTGGTTTGAGAGGAAGTAATTTATGCAAGTGAATGAATGCATTATCATATATGTTTTGTCTCAGGTTGTCTGGGACATGGACGCCCAATGCGTCTGAAACGCTACATAATGAATTTGGTGTTGTTGCACTTGAATTAGATAATGTATTAGTGCTGCCTGAAGTACCTGTAGAAAGCATTGTTGGCGATGCCTCAAACTCTAAGGGGTCAGGGATGTCTATTCCTGAGGAAGTTGTAGGCTGGTTTGATAAGGCTGGAGGTATGGCGTCAGGAGTGACCTGGTTCGGTTGAGTCACGGTGCTTGTAGCAGTGGTGACCTGGTTCGGTTGAGTCACGGTGCTTGGAGGCCTGGATGCTTTGGCCTTTTTGGTGGCAGCTGGAGCTCGGCCGGGCCTGGCATATGGAGACTTTGTAGTCCTTTTTGCACGGAGCATGTTTCTATAAAACAAACAACTGTGTAACTTGTGTTTAACATATACATAATTTATTATTATTATTATTAATTGCTTATATATTTATAAATTTTTACTATTAATGTTTTTTTTTTTTTTTGTTTGTTTGAATCTGAGATTGTAAGTTATTAACATCGTTTACTAATTATGAATGATCAAATTATATGTAGAGTTAAAGCCCTTTTGTTTAACGTTTGGCATGCCGCCATTAACGGATGGTGATGATGAATATTGATCCAGCAAAATCTGCTGACATCTTAAGTGCTGAGGCAAGGGAAACGCCCAATTCGCTTCCAGTGCTTCACTAGATGTTTAATACATACCGATGACCGGTGGAACGATACCTGTACAATATAGTAATCCACGTAATGGGTTGCAACTTGGAGGTGATTTTTCTGTTGATGCTGTCTGATCAAAATCGTCGAGCGAAGAGGATGTGTGCGCAAGCGCATTTAAGGCTTGGGGCTATTTTGGAAATTTGGTTGAGGACAGGGGAGTTATCGCGCTTAGGCTATTCTTCTTCGATAACTGGCATTTACCGCACATGGCGGTAAATGCAATTATTTGACGAAATGTTATGGAACTTGAATGTGTAGCGTAATACTTATGTGTGTACATTATTGTTCGGTATTACTACGCCGAGGATTGTGTGTGTCCGTTTTATTACAGATTGTTTGTTGAACTTACTTTATTATGTATATCGAATAGAATTTATAGCTCCTACCTTACATGTAGAAAGGACATTTTCAGCGACATTATTTTCTTTGTTTTACACAATATGTATGTAAAGTAGTTCTGAGTTGCTCCAGAAAGGACAATTATTCATTGGTTTATTGTGATCACGTGACCATTACAGAAGGTTATATATATAAGCAGCGAACGCCAGTTTCACAACAACGATCGTAACGATCAGATCATATTACGTCATCAACATCACTGACTGTAAATTACTAGCGACTTAAGTATGAGAAAATAATGTAAACTAATACAAATTAAGTAGCGTATAATTTCTCCACCGCACGGACACCG